TATTGTGCCTTAGGCCACATGTCTCGCGTATAAACACTCAAATCCTCATTATTTTATGCCGCATCATGGTTTGTACCGCGAGCACAGCACAACTACAAAACTGCGTGTAGTTTTTGATGCAAGTGCCCCCACAACGTCTGGTAAGTCGTGTAACTACATTCAGCTTGTTGGACCGCCCATACAAGGGGATCTCTTTTCTATACTCTTACGCTTCAGACAGTATAGGTATATAGCATGTAGTGATATCAAAAAAATGTATCGACAAGCCCTAATCAGCCCTGATCTACAATTGATACTCTGGCGCGAGGATCCGTCTTACCTTCTTAGCAGTTAGGTGTATTCAACAACTCGCTGATGAGTGTGACGATAGTGAGGTCAACCGATCTATTTGTGAGGACATGTATGTCGATGATTATATAGCTGGTCGGGACAATAAAGGCGAATTATTGAACGACACGTCGTACCAGGTAAACCTATGTATTTGGAAATGCATATATTTACGGACGCCTCGCAGACAGCGTATGGTAGTTGTGTTTATATACGCACGTTAAGTGATAATGGAACTATTTGGTTAGGTTACTATGTTCGAAGTGTAAGGTGGCACCGCTTAAACCTGTAAGCATACCCCGACTGGAGCTGTGTGGTGCATTATTATGCGCTAAATTTTTTCACAAGGTTCATGAATCGCTGCGTTGTAAATTCAAATCGGTAACCTTTAGGACAGACTCGACAATTGTTTTAGGATGGTTGCGAATGGCACCTAGTTTATTACAAACTTTTGTTCAGAATCGTGTCGTCGAAATACAGGAAATAACTAAAGGTTTACCATGGCGTAATGTCAAGGGTAAAGACAATCCAGCTGACTTAGTTTCGCGGTGTGTCAGCTTAGATAATTTAATCTCCTGTGATGCGTGGTGGCAGGGGCCACTTTTTCTTTATATCGAGTTCGAACCAAATATCCAACATGATGAGTTACCCGAATTAAAACCATTAAAATTACATACTTTCATGTGTAGCAATAGAAATAGCACATTATCTGAATAATAACAATTATTCAGATAATGTGCTATTTCTATTTCATAGATTTTCTCAATTCAATCGTATGATACGTGCATGCGCATACCTACTACGTTTTATTTATAATACGCGCAACAAAACCAACAGGCGTAGTGGAATACTCACTTTGGAGGAACTGAGACAATCAGAGTCAGTTTTAGTCAAATACAGTAAATAAGAATCATTTCCAAATGAATATAAAATATTTATTAACAATGGCTACTTAAACAACAAAAAGTATTTATCAAAACTTAATTTGTTTATTGATAATCATAACATCGTTCGTGTAGGTGGCCGCATATGTAACTCTGTGTGTTTTACATTTAACAAAAAACATCCTATATTACTCTCCAGTAAACATTTGTTTACCATTTTCTTAGTTTCATAAAAAAAAATTACATGTGGGACCCCAGACACTTCTTTTTAATTTATGAAAAACATGGTGGCCATTCAGAGGTAGAAATCTAGCACGAAAAACAGATCATGAATGCGTCAGTTGTACTCGCTTCAAGGGCAGTCGCATTTATCCCACTCATGGGTGACTTACCCGTAGAAAGAATCACTGCTAGTTTTCCTTTCTAAAGGGTATCTCAACAACGCAATTTTTAAATTTTAAATAAAACACAGATATGTAAAAAAAAATACGTGAAACTTTATTATATCGTAAAGTAGACAGAATGAGGTTATGTATGGAACAATATATCGTGCAGATGGCCGCCGCGGCTTTGCTGGCATGCACGCGATCTTTTAATGAAATTTTCAATGAACGTTTTGCATGAATGCTGCGGTATTTCATTAATGCAGCGTCCAATTTCCTCTTTTAAGGCTTGAGTCGTCGTCGGCTTATTCGCGTAAACCATCGACTTCAAAAAACCCCAAAGAAAAAAATCTAATGGTGTTAAATCGCACGATCTAGGCGGCCAATTCTGATCTCCAAAACGCGAAATAACACGACCGGGAAATGACTGATGCAGCAATGGCATTGTTTCTCTGGCTGTATGATATGTGGCGCCGTCTTGTTGGAACCACATGCCCTCCACATTCATTTCTTCAATTCTAGGCAAGAAAAAACTGGTTATCATTTCACGATACCGAACACCATTGACTGTTTGCGCTTGACCTGCCTCATTTTCATAAAAAAAAGGTCCAATGATTCCTCCGGCCCAAAAACCACACCACACAGTGACACGTTGAGGATGCATTTGCTTCTCGTGAATCACTCGAGGGTTTTCCTCACCAAAAATGCGACAATTCTGCCTAACGACGAGGCCATCAAGATGAAAATGGGCCTCGTCACTGAAGATGATTTTATCGGCAAAATCAGCATTTTCATGTCGTCTCTCTAATACCCAATTAACGAACTCCCTTCGCTGTCCATGGTCAGCTGGCTTCAGTTCCTGAGTCAATTGAACTTTGTATGCATGAAGATGCAAATCTTTCGTCAAAATTCGCCAATTTGCTGAGCTCGGTGTCGAATTGAGGTGGATGGAGTTTGAGCGACATCATCACGTACAGCAGCGACTTTTCGGTCGAACGACCTGGTCGATGGCGCGTTGTTGTCTTTACATCACTAACAGACCCAGTTTCGGCAAATTTATCCATTAATCTCTTTACAGTTGACTCTTTTGGAGTATTATTGCGACCCCAAATTGATCGCAATTTGTGAACTGTAGCTGCAAAACTTTCACTATTTTGGTAAAACAATTTCACAATGAGAATGCGTTGTTCATTCGCGTAGCGCTCCATTTTTACTAACCTCGTACCTTCTACTAGCAAACAATAACAATTGTTCAAATGTCAAACAATGACACTTCGAATGTTGCCAGATTTAAAAATTGCGTTCTTCTTGGGACACCCTTTATAATTGTGGCGTCGACTACGCCGGCCCCGTGTACACAATGAGCCGTAGAGGTAGGGGGGCTAAGACGTTAAAGGCCTACATTTGTTTATTTAAATGTTTTGCTACACGCGCTGTACATTTGGAATTGGTGTCCGATTTAACTTCCGAGGCTTATTTATTGGCACTTAAGCGTTTCATATCACGAAGCGGAAAACCACAACAGATATTCTCCGATAACGGAAAGAACTTAAGGAATGATTTTCATTTTTGAAAACATGTTCTTTAGATATTGTAGAATACGCTAATGGTGAAGATATTCAGTTTAAATTTATTCCTCCGTATGCCCCTCATTTTGGTGGTTTATGGGAGGCTGGCGTTAAATCTTCTAAGCACTGCCTTATGAGGGTTATAGTTAATGCACATCTGACATACGAAGAGTTCAATACATTACTCATACAAGTTGAAGGTATGCTTAACTCTCGTCCTTTAACACCCATGTCTACTGATCCAAATGATCTCCTTCCTTTAAGTCCTGCTCACTTCCTCATAGGCCGTCGGATTACTTCTCCATTATACCCAAAGATAGCTGAATATGACATGCACAGATTTCCTCGCTATCAACGAGATGAACAGATTCGACAACATTTTTGGAAGAGGTGGAGCACAGAATTAATATCAGAAATGCAAATTCGAAGTAAATGGACTCACAAACGCAGGGCCTTACAGCAAGATAGACTGGTCATCATCAAAGAGGATTGTACGCCACCGATGTAATGGCAACTTGGACGCGTTGTAACAACTTATCCAGGCAAGGATGGTGTCTCCAGGGTGGCAGATGTACGCACAGAGAAGGGCATTGTGAGGCGAGCATTCTCAAAACTCTGTCCTTTGTTCCCGTTGGAAGTTGCTTCTTCCAAGGCCGGGGGCATGTCTACGCACCAATCAACGCACGTGTAAATGACGTGATATATGTTCCGCCAATGAGAGTGTGGCCACTCTGGCCATATATAAAACCTTTTCTTATGCACCGTTTATATACTTTTAAACAAGCGTACGTTAATCATGTTTGCATTGTACCTATGTATTTTCTAAATCAATAATACAAGTTCAAGAAAAACAGTCTTACGTCATTTTTATCCACGCACCCAACGCAACAAGCTATATATATATATATATATATATATATATAGCTATATATATATTATATAAAAAAGCTCTCGTCACAGGGTATTCGCCATAATGAATTTCTATAAGACTGAAGATTTAACTAAATTACAGGAAGGAAGAATTACACACTAAAGGAGGTGTTTCTCAATTCATCAGAATCTTTTTTTAGGGTGTGTCTACTGAACATTACAATTTCATATTCGTAAATTAATCACAACCATAACTACACACAGAATGTTTGACTCAAACGTTATCAGGTAAACAGATAAAAGCTAATGGATCTGCAATTCAACTCTACAGAAGGTGTTTTGCCTGAACAAATAATGTCACGTACAATTCTACTGAGTAATTTTACAGCAGCATTTTACGTTTTGCACTGGGGTCTATCAAACATTTACTGTTAGTTTAGTGGTTAGCGATCCTGATTGCTAAGCCAGAGGTCGTGGGTTCGATTCCCACACAGAACAAAAAATTGTGTAATGAACACGATCATTTGTTCAGTGTCTGGATGTAATCTTATGTATATGTATCTATGATATATGTGTGTTTTTAGAATTATATAAGTATGTTTATTAGCAGGACTTTGGAAAAAAATAATGGAATCAGATGGCCTTGTATAGGACGTCTCGAGTCAAACTAATTAAAAAAAATAAAAAAAATAATAATTATAGTTTAAAAAAATCATCGGTCCTCGATATATCTACAAAGTTTGAACGAATTCTGACTGTTTAAAGTCAGTCAAAATCACGCCCAAAGGAGTCGGTTACAAACATACAAACAAACATACAAGTGAAGCTAATATAAAGCGTGTAAAAACTAGAAATCGAGAGTGAACTGACCCAGTAGACTCTACTTATTTTGCTTATTTTGGTATTCTAAAAGTTGACGACCGACAGTTTCAACCTTATATGTACGAGTATACTCGTGGAACTAAAAGTTACATATTATGTTTCGCAAGAAAGTCTCTGATGAGTATGTTAACTTTCTCGGGGTCTTCTTGTTGAAGAAAGTGTCCAGTTCCTTTCACAACAGTGGTTTCTATAGAGCTGTACTCCTTCTTCATAGTTTCGAGCATGCTGTGGCTAAGGTAGTTGTCATTCTCAGCGTGAGCGACTAGCATTGGAACATTTTCTTTGTGCTCTTCAATGTCTGGGATGTCAAAACGGAAATTCGCTCGATAGTAATTAATGGGTGGCGTCAGAGCATCTGCAAAACAATATTTTTAAACAATGTCAATTAAGGTAGAAACAAAAATAGAGGGTTGGAAACGGGAAAGTAGGTAGTTCTTATAGAATCCAACAAGCTTCCTCTATTGAAAATTTTGTAAGTGGATTGTACTGATTATACCTAAATTCTCCAAAGTTCTATAGAAAAAGAAATTAAACACAACTAATGTTGCAGTCTTGTAACCACTGCTAAAATTTGATTGAGGAACGATTTGCAGGTTAGATTGTTTTGGATTGCTTATATCGTTTACAGAAAATGTGTGAACGCTCTGAGCTCTGGTCCTCACAGGTGGTGCATCATTATCAAAGAAATTCATAGACAGCAGTAGTGTCAATTGTAGTTTGTGGCTCTAGATTTGCAATTCGTTTTGGACCTGAAAGTAACAAGTTAGACCTAGAAATCCACTATGACCCAACTTGTGAAATATCAATTTGTATAAAACCTTATATGTAGAGGAAGTTTTTTATAAGTAGCATATAAGCAGGTATAAAACCAAACTATAAAACATTTATTGCACTTACATGGCTTACGGAACCAATATTTATAACAATCGATGTCGTCTTTATCGGTTGAGCTCTTGCCTGGAAATAGCATTAATGTCTCGTACATGGCTAGGTCATTCATAGCCAAAGCTTTTTCTGCTATAAGAGGCGCCCGATACAGGAATACATACCTGAAAGTGAAAAATACTAGTATTACACTAAGTGTCCGTTTCGAATGCTCGGCCACAGTGTCGTAGAAAACAACGACTACGTCAACATTACGAAGGAATTTGTAAAATACTAACAATGAAAGTCGCAAATTCGTAGAACCAATATTCAGAAAGTAGTAAGGGTTTAACCATGGCCGCGCAGTCGAAACATGGAGAACCGCGCGGCCACGCAGTTCTCTTAAACGGAGCTTAGTAGAGTCCCATTCTTTTTGCTAACCACTGTTATGATTTCGAAGAAAAGGTAGACAGTATGAAAAAAGCCCTACGGTTTGGACTTCACGACCTACAGAACTTAAATGCTATGGCCGTGTTGTCGAAACATGGCGAACCGCGCGGCCACGCAGTTCTTTTAAACGGAGCTTAGTAGAGGTCCCATTCTTTTTGCCAACCACTGGTACTATTTCGAAGAAAATGTAGACAGTATGAATAAAGCCCTAATGTTTGAACTTCATGACCTACAGAACTGAAAACTTAATCTTAAAATGTAACTTAGAAGAAGGGTGACCAGGATTTATGGTGCGTCAATCAGACATTTCCAAAAGCGTCGTTTTATATTACATAGGTAGTAAGGGAATAAGTTAAACCTTCTTTCTAAGGAGAGGCCTATGTCCAGCAGTGGACTATTAAAGGCTGTTGATGTGATGTGATGATGTGAGGGAATAAGTATGGTGAATAAGAATATGCATAAAATTTAAATTTGTCTTAAAAAAAATCTAGATTCTTTATTGTCTATACATTGTACTTAAAAGGTATTTTTTTTATTTATTTATTGTCGCGCACGCCATTGGATTTATCGGCGTCGATATTCATACGTAGTATTTGTGAGAAAAAATGTTTAAAACTGTATATTAATATATACTTTTAGTCAATCTAGGATGATGACAGAAACTGGTTTTGTCAAAGCACAATCAGATAACCTACTGAAAATAGATGCATTTATGATGTCAGCATATTTTGCATCAAATCTCGATGTTACGAGCGCAGAAATCAGAAGCTGCAAGGTAATTATTATGTTACATGGTATATTTTAGTCCATTACATAGATTTTTTTAATACATTGTTAAATAATACTACAAATCATAATCATTAGTCATTAAAATTGTTCCTAAACTCCTAATTAACGTCTATATTATTATAATTTACCCGTAATATTATATTATTGAAGCTCACTCAAGTATATGTTGATATACTTTTTGTACATATTAGATAAGTACGATATTCCGATTTAAATTAATAATTAAATTACTTTCAATATTTAATTGCTTGTTTGTTTCAGATCTGAATGAGAATCTTTCCCTTTTAATTACGGCTTTAAGCAACTGGTGGCATATTCCGTTTTTGACACAACAATAAATGAGGAACAACTCCAATCTTTAAACGTAGATTACATTATTCTCCTTTTTGTTTCATTAAGTTATATTAAACAAAATTAACTGTTTCATCCTGAACCTGAAATAATTTATCAATGATCAAAGTTTCGTAAAACCGCAAACCGTAAAAAGCAAGCTCTTTAGAGAAATTTTTAATGAACTTTTGTAAACTAGGATAGGTTAGTCTTAGATCAAATCTTCTACTGATTAATAGCTAATTCACACTAAGCTGTATATAAATATTGAAATTAATACTTCACAACATAATACAAGCGATAATGGAGATACATTATCCCTACTCAACATCTTTCACCATTTTTTTGTACTTTTGCATCGCGTGGAATACGAAAAAACACTATATCGGGTGTACTAATAATAGTGTTTTTGTACTTCAGTACTATACAATACTTGTAAGAAGGTTTTTTAGCTTCTTCCATAATAAATAATAATTCATTTAAGAAATTAAAACAAAAACATTGCCTATTGGATGGAGAAGTACTTATACGAAAATATTGACACCGTATTCGTATAAATACTACTTTTACCTATTTATCTTAATAAAATTGAAAATGTCTGATCAACGTACCATAAATCTTGGTAACCCTTCTTCTAACTTGCATTATAGTTTTAAGTTCTGTAGGTCGTGAAGTCCAAGCCTTAGGGCTTTATTAATACTGTCTACATTTTCTTAGAAATCCTATCAGTGGTTGACAAAAAGAGTACGGCCTCTACTAACCTCCGTTTAAGAGAACTGCGTGGCCGCGCGGTTCTCCATGTTTCGACTGCGCGGCCATGGTTAAACCCTTACAACTTTCTGAATATTGGTTCTACGAATTTGCGACTTTCATTGTTAGTATTTTACAAATTCCTTCGTAATGTTGACGTAGTCAATTTTTTTCTACGACACTGGCCGAGCAGTCGAAACGGACACTTACACTAATGGAGTATAAACAAGGGCTCTACGATATAATAAACAGTATGAAAATCATTTTACAAAATAAGGCAATATGCAAGTAGTAGGCATATCTACTATTGGGCCGCTGGGAGAGAAACTAGTTTTTCTTTTCTTCTTTTTTCTTTTTATAGAAATACTTATATTATGTACGTCTATAAAAACATACAAATATTTGAGTGCACAGAAATTTGCACAGTGAGGCGGTTTTAGAGTCTTTTTTTTTTTATTCTAACTATAGTCAAGAGTGTACCTACATAATAATATAACCCTTCCTTCTTCCGGTTGAAGGTCCACTACCGGAAAATAGTCGAGCATCTTCGAAATACACACATGAGTATTACCGATTATACTTTATACACGTCAGTTCTCATTTCACGGGATTAACATAATTGAACAATATAAGTTATACCATCATTTACCACTTACTCAAGCTTTTTATCTACGGTACATGGCACAAACATTTCTAAAAACAAAACAGTAGTATGTACATATATTCCGTTTTTTCAATATTTTGTATAGCCTGTAGTTGACCTGTCTATGGGACGCATCTTTACCTCCACTTGGTACTACCAACGTTACCTCGCTATTGCCAATTTTGGTCTTATAAGGCCTATTGTTAAATAATTATCTCGACGATAACCATCTTCTTCTTTTGCCTGTTGAATTTTATGCGAAAATCTTTTTCAGTAGTGGCAACTAAAATGGTACATGAAAAAAATAATAATCTTATTTCTTACCAAGACTGTTTTCTTTGAATAGGATTGGTCCAAATCTCACGGCACCAGGCTGTGGAAGAGACGCTAGCTAGCACGATGAGAGCAGACAACATATCAGGATATTTATCGCGGAATCGACAAGCTATCACACCTCCCCAATCGTGAGAAATTAATATACATTTCTGGCTACCTGAAAGAAAATTAAAAGAGCGATCAAATCGAACCTCCTTTCTAAGAGGCATATGTCCAGCAATGGACTATTATTTAGAGGCTGTTGATGATGATGATGAAACTATAATTATTCGTTCTACGAATCTCATTACTTTGCAGCTGTAAACGGTATACTTTGGGATTTTCTTTTATCAGTATACACGGTTGTAATTCCCTGGTTGTGACCATCAACAAACCTCTTTGTCAAAGTAATCTCGATCATAGATCTATATAACTGTACAAAAACACGCAATCGTTACAGAATGATTTAATGAAATACTCATATCTAATTTAATCGTGTTTTTCGTCGTAAAACCTGCCTACTTGGTCAAGGTACAGTGGCTTGTGTAAGATGTTTTTGCCACAGACAAACTTATCGTGCAAAATCACAAAAAAAATAACCTTCCGTTAAAGTTTTTATCTACTTTTCTGAATTATGTAAGTACTTGAGACCGAAATATAAGCAGATATCAAAATTATTTAGAAATTGCTAACAGATCGACTTAATTGTACCAATGGCTGACATTTAGAAGGAACTATTATTCTAACATTGTTAAAAAAATTACAAATTTATAAAAGAAAAAAAACTTTTGCAAGAGTGAATTGCTTTCGTAAAATTTAATCTTTATCACTAGGCAATATAAAAATTTAACATTTTTAAAGAATGTTTAAATTCACATAGTTAAGACAACAAACATTTTTGTGACTTTGCACGATTTCGGACTTATAAAAATATCTGAAAAGATTTACTTGCAGAAATAACTAACAGCTAACAGAAATTGCAACACCGATAATATTCTAGATTTTGAATATTAAACACTTAATATTTAAAATCACAGGCATCAGTCAATATCGCAGGCATTGTTGAGTTTGCCTAGAGTTCACTGTTCTGTTAGAGAGTATAGTTATGTTTATATGCATAGAAATTTGTTAAAAGCATCTCCCAAAAACTACTCTCAACCACAAAACATTCCTCATTCCAAACTGAAAAACATACTTTATAACCAGTCAATAACAAGTCAATTTTAAAGTGACAATGAACAAATAATTGTTTACCTAATTGACGAATGAGGTCTCTAACATCTTCAATCAAGATATCAATTTTGTATGAAGAAACACCCTCGGGTCTCGCCGAGTCTCCGTATCCCCTCATATCCAAGGCAACGCACCTATAAATAAATCCAAATATTAACATAACACATTCATGATCGGCATACGACCTTCAGGAACTAAACAACAAACTTACCAGTAATCCTTTTGAAATTCCACAATTTGATGTCTCCATGAATACCAGAACTCGGGAAAACCATGTAGAAACAGCATCAGAGGTTTCGATGGGTTGCCACTCTCGACGTAATGGATTACTATGTTCTGTAGAAAAAAAGATGGAGATAATTATACCTGTGGTTTTTTAAGAAAGGTTTTCCTATTGCCGGAGAGCCCTTTTTGCACAAAAAGGAAAAGAAAAACTGCAATATGAAATGATTATAGTTTAGTGTTGTCAAACGATTCACAATCATATTATAATGTACCTATATACCAATTGCCTATGTTTAAGTGGTGCACGCAATTTTCTTTTACTTGTCGCGAAACTTTATTATTGGCTAAGAGTCTAAAAAATGTTTAACTTCACCCATGATATTAATTAAAATTAAATTAATTAATTAATAAATTAATTAAAATTAAAATAATAATAAGGATATACCTCACACCTCTCACACACGGCCGTCTAATCCCAAACTAGGCAGAGCCTGTGCTATGCTAACCAGACTGCTGATAAACATAGTTATATATTTTTAAATACATACATACCCATACTAATATTATAAATGTGAAAGTGTGTCTGTCTTTCTGTTTCCTCTTCACGCTTAAACCGCTGAACCAATTTAGATGGAATTTGGTACGAAGATACTATGCTTCTTGAGGGAAGACATAGGCTACTTTTTACCGCGATAACCGACATTCACACAAGTAGTATTATGTAGTAACTTCATTATCTCCAAGTAGTACGTTAATGTAAGTGTACAAAATGCAGCAGTTATAATAATAGATACTAGCCAAACCTGATTTCAGTTCTCTAAATAAAAATAAAATATAAGACTTATAGAATCTTTAGAAACGTATAATATTAAAACGCCACAGCTAAACCACTATGTACTCGTATATTATTGTAGAAAGTTATATTTTCACGCGCGCACATCCGTCTTAGCGCTGGGAATGCTTCAGAGACAAAGCTAACACAGAATTTTTTCTTGTACAAAGCATAGTTTACATGACGTAAATCATTTTTGGATTTTCCATCTTTTGTAGATTTGATACTTTCGATAACGCCAGAGAACATCATCCTGACACACTGCCTGTTGGGTGATAGGTGACTCTGATGTTGAGTCTTGGCCCCATTTGTGCTAGGGTGATACAACGCCTCCTCACAGCGTGAGGTGATCGCTAGCCTTGGTAAATTATTGGTCTCCCATTCAAAATATATTTTATTTTGTTCTCTTCAAAGTTTATTTTCATGACATAAAGTAGGCTTTGACAAGGACGTAAATATTTACGTAATATTTTTATCTAAATACCAAAATTCACCCAAAAAAAGTGGACAAATAATTCTTATTTTAGACAAAGTGTAATTCCTAAGCTTACCACATTTCTCGTTTATGTTTGTGACAAAAAGTTGCCTATGGCTTTTGCCAAGGTTTTATACAAACTTTGATCCTCTTTTTTACAACTTTGAAGGGTTACCATAAGAATATAATATAGCTTATGTCCTACCTAGTACCATGAACTCATTTCATGCCAAGTTTAATTTGAATCCATTAAGCAGTTTTAGCGTGGTGAGACATGCAATAACTTGATCAGAGTTTTAACTCTTTACGAAAACACACGCTATTAAAGAAAGCGGAACGGTATTCATGTATAGATTTAGTCGTGATCGTATTTAACAATTACGACTGAATTCTTTCATGTTACAACATTATGCTTTCGCTCTGCTTAGCCATGTTTAGTTAGGAGTTAGATACTCATGAGTCGGTACAGCCAACTACTCTTATGTCAGATTTCTCCAGATTTTATTTCAAATCTGGATTCGTCTTAGATATGATTTTTCGCTAATATCAATTTCCCAAATAAATTTATCTTTAATAGCCGTAGCGTGTTCCAAATTATACGTTCTATTTCAGACTATAATCTATCTATGTGAGAAATTTTACCCAGAACCATTCAGCTGTTTTGGCATGATTGTGTAAGAGATTCCCATAACCCATCCGCATAAAGTTTCGCTTTATTAATTTAAATATTAATAAGATTAAACCGCTACGAATGTATAATACCTACTGTGTTTAAGATACTATCACTAAATGCATTTACAGTCCAATAATATTGTTAATATATTTGCACTTATTACGGAAATCTTAAACCACTGTTAGATAGACTTTCTTAAGACGTATAGTAATTTCAATCACAAAAAAAACTGGAAGACAGTTTTGTAAAATTAATTTGAAACACCAAGTTACATAATAGTATATCAGGGGCTAATTAATGTTCGCCCCGGGACCCGATGGCATTCCTGGCCGAGCGTGGGTCCTGGCCTTAGTCGACGAGGCTCTCGAGCCCCGACTGCGAGGGTTCTTCAGCGCATGCCTCGAGCGGGGCCAGTTTCCGAAATTGTGGAGGACGGGGAAACTGGTCCTCATCCGAAAGGAGGGGCGCCCGGTGGACTCACCGTCCGCCTACCGGCCCATAGTGTTGCTTGACGAGGTGTGCAAGCTCTTTGAAAGAGTGATTGCAAGGCGCCTCGTCAAGCATCTCGTGATGGTTGGGCCGGATTCTGGCGGACAACCAGTACGGTTTCCGTCAGGGGCGCTCCACCGTGGATGCGATCATGCGCGTGAAGGCTCTGGCGGAGGAAGCAGTCTCCCGGGGCGAAGTGGTGTTGGCGGTGTCCTTGGACATCGCCAACGCGTTCAACACTATGCCCTGGAGCTGCATCAGGGAGGCGCTCGTGTATCACGAAGTGCCTCTCTACCTCCGCCGCATAGTCGGGGCATATTTGTCGGAGAGAGCCGTCGTCTACCCCGATAGGACCGGTCTCGGTAGGCGTGAAATGTCGTGCGGTGTTCCGCAGGGGTCGGTGTTAGGGCCACTCTTGTGGAACATCGGCTACGACTGGGTGCTTCGTGGTGCCTTCTTGGATGGTGTCGCCGTCGTTTGCTACGCGGATGACACACTCGTGACGGCGCGCGGCAAGACGCACCACGAGGCAACCCTGAGGGCCACGGCCGGGGTTGCCCAAGTCGTTGAGCGTATCCGGCGGCTGGGTCTCGAGGTGGCTCTGCACAAGTCCGAGGCCCTGTTCTTCCACGGGCTTCGGAGGAAGCCGCCTGAGGGATCTAGCCTCACGGTAGGAGGCACTCGCATCGGCATCGAGCCCTCGATCAGGTATCTGGGGCTCGTACTCGATGGCCGATGGGACTTCGGATATCATTTCCGAGGTCTGGTCCCCAAGTTGGTTGGGGCAGCGCGTGCGTTGGCGCGGCTGCTGCCCAACATGAAGGGACCCGATGACTCCTGCAGGAGACTCTATTCGGGGGTTGTGCGGTCCATGGCCCTTTACGGGTGCCCAGTATGGGCGGGGGCCCTGAAGGCCAGCAACGTCGCGATACTGCGACGACCGCAGCGAGTGCTGGCCATCAGGATCATAAGGGGGTACCGCACGATCTCCTTTGAGGCGGCGAGTCTCCTGGCCGGAACTCCACCGTGGGACCTCGAGGCGAGAGCCCTTGCGGCTCTGTATCAGTGGCGCAAGGAGGCGCGGGAGTTGGGTCGATGCCCCGAGATTCGAGAAATCGATGACCGGAAATCCCGACTCCGCCAGGTCATCATAGGGGAGTGGAGGGAACGACTCGGGCAACCGAGCGCCGGGCACGCCGTCATCGCGGCGGTAAGACCCGTTATGGAGGATTGGCTCGAGAGGCGTCACGGGACCCTCTCATACCGATTGACGCAGGTGATCACTGGGAAGGGATGTTTCGGGGATCACCTGTGTCTGATCCGCAAGGAGCCAACGCCTGAGTGCCACCACTGCGATGGCCAGACCGTGGACACGGCTCTCCACACGCTGGCAGAGTGCCCGGCGTGGGTTGAGCAGAGGCGAGACCTCGTGGCGGCCATCGGAGTGGGAGTTCTCTCGCTCGATAGCCTGATTGCGGCTATCGTGCGGAGCGAGAGTGCGTGGAACTCTGCCGTCTCCTTCTGCGAGCAAGTTATGCTCGCGAAGGAGACGGCGGAGCGGGACCGGGAGAGGTTTAGGACTCTCCCGGCCCACCATGCCCGGGAACGGGCCAGGTACCGCAGGCGACTCAGGCGCCGGAGGTCGCGGAACGACCTCCGTCCTCCATAAGCGCAGGCCTGGGGGTGACAGGTGAGGCCATCTGTCACCCTAGCAGAAACAGGCCGGGGTGGCGGCGAGCGCGTTGCGAAGCGCGCTCGCCTCTAGGGAGCACAGGGAACATGGGGTTCCCACACGGGGGGGGGGGTCGTCTACTCGTCTGTAGATGACCCGAGGTATGTCGGGGCACCAGGGACTTCCTTTCTAGGGTATACCTGGTTCCCCGGCTATTAGTACCCGAGACCGCGTGCGGTTTTAGTCGGTTCGAGTCCGACATGCCACCGACAGGTGGTATCCGAGGGGATTTCCGCACGAAAAAAAAAAAAAAAAAGGGGCTAATTAATGTTGAGCATGACTTTTGTTTTAGACACTTAAAATCATAATATAAACACAACATACATACTAAAATGTTGTTTCACATGCTATAGGGATTAAGTTTCGGCACATAACGTGTTATACGACACAATCCTTTAGGAAACCATTGAAGGACCGAAATTCTAAAATACAGTCTATTATTATAGACAATACCATACATAGAATAACCCAACGTATCATAACAGGTTCCTGCAGTTTCAACTGCATTTATACTCACTTAAGAGTTGAATACTCTATAGTCTATACAATACCAAAAAACGTTTTTAATCTGAATTTGAATTACACTGTGCATGTATTGTAAGTACTTTGATATATAAGATTCAGCAAACATAAGGTACTTTCAAGCAGGCTTATACTTGTGACATCTATTTACTAAAACAACAGTGGAATTAAAAAGTAAACGTATGGGATTGACATAAACCATAAACATGTCACGTGACTTTAAAACGGTAAAGTACTCAGAAACGGTTGACCTCGGTAGTAACCTCTATTCCAGCAAATAAAATGTAAACATCGTCTATGTACAACTACAAGACAAACCTCTTTATAAACCTAGTCAAGGACGCTTTCGGTATGAAGCGCTCGTTGTGGACTCTACGCAAACAACAGC